GCTGAGAAGGTTCTAGACACTTTCATAGTAACTTGATGTTCCGCTGGGTTGCTAAGTAACGGCTCCTCCGTAGTGACCGTTACTACGTTTCTACTGTGACGACAGAACAACCGAACAAACTGAACTGAGCAGAAACGAACAGAACGGACTGTGAACTGTTTTACAGCCTGACTGAACAAGACGACCATCAGCTTCATCTGGAGAACTGAAAGACTGAAAAAGCGGAGCTCAACTTCACATTCTCACATTTCTACGGCTCTATTGGTGACAGTGCCGTGTTTTGAAGTAGACATTTCTTTAGATATTCGACTTTCTCTCCTCAATTTCTCATGAAACGAACTTCTAACAATGTTCAGACCTAAAATGTCTGAGTGAGAAGACGGAGAACACACTACAATTACGAAGGACGAAACATGAGAACACCATAAATAAAGAAATAGATAAATAAACTCGGTTCAGATCAGATACAGAAATAAATATATGTAAATAAATTCAAATAAAGCAAATGTAGAATTACATACATTCATAAATACGTAAAAAATGTATTTAATTCTTTATGGGTTTTTGTCTCTAATGTATTTATTATTATTATTATTATTATTATTATTATTGTTGTTGTTGTTGTTGTTGTTGCTTTCCTACTACTCATTGATATATTTATCTATTACCGTTTTGATGAATGAATCAATTGTTCATTATTTATTGATTATATTGGCTGGTTTGTTCATCATATACAATCCAATATATTTTAAAACTGTCCGTGTTTAAATTTCAAAGGCCTGAAAACGCAGATCACTGCAGCGTTAGTCATTAAGGCTCTGTCTACAAACTACATTACACTTTTCTACGTTTTATTTTCCACGTATTTGTTCTAAAGAAGGAAAGATCAAATCACTTGCAGTAGAGAGTTGCTTCCTTTAAATCTACTAAATCTCCGTTCATAATTCCATAATTTCATCACACTTCACATGAGCTTTAACGCCCAATTCAAACACAGCCAGTCAGTAAAGGCTGGGAATCTGCACGGATCTGAAAATATACAGTGTTCTAGAATTAACTGTCCACAGAAGAACTACAAGGCTTTTCCACTGTTTTAGCCTGTGATCCCCTTGACAGCAAACGGAGCTACATCACATATTCAGTCTGTAGATTCGAAAATGTCCACATTTACCAGATAAAGTGAATCACCTTCTGAAAGGTAAAAGAAGAGCAGCCTACCTGACGTCCGTCCGAACGCGACAGCGGATGACGTTCAAATAATTCGCTGGAGCGAGTCACCCGACATAAATACCTCGCGGTCGGTGACGTCACGGCACGTTTTCATTCAGATATCTGCTGCGTTCCATTCACTTAATTGATAGTATTCCGATGACGTCACAATCGCGTTGCCACCACTTTGGTAGGCAACATCAAGTTCATTCAGCAGAGCAAAGCATAACTCATCCAGCAAAGACAGTAAAACACGTTTTGGATCACATTTTTAAACCATACTAACTGATATATTTGAGTGTATTGCCTTGATTTTATTTGATTTGTTGCTCTAGTGATAAATGACAAAAGCTGAAATCGAAATGGCTGAGATTTTCCCGCTGCATTACTTGCACCCCGTCCCAAACCGCATACTAGCACACATTAGAAGTGCACTCATTGGTGTAGTAGGTAAAGTACAGAAGTGTGTGGTTTGTGACTCGACCTTACATCAGCCAGTGAGACACGTTTAACAGTTGCTCTGCTTCTCATTAACTGCTCAGTGAACATTTTCCAAGTAAAACTTTAAGGTATTTGTTGATTAAAGTTGCATTTATGGTGGTAAATTAATGCATTTATTGTGGTAAATCGATGCCTTTATTGGGGTAAGCTGATGCTGGCTTTGTATAGACGTGTTTCTGTGCAACATCATCACAGGGATGTGCACACAACTAGGGGTAGAAAGCAACACAAAGCGGCGCTACAATTTAGCTACTTTTCAAAGAAAAGTAGTCTCTACTTTTTAGCTACTTTTTGAAAAGTAGTGCACTACTTTTTGGCTACTTTCAAAGTGCAATTGTCAGAATGTTTGTGAATCTCCACCTGACACACCAAACAAGCCCAACTGAAAGTGTGAACAAGACACTGTATTTAATCATGTGCCAGAAAGAAACATACAATTGAAAAGCTGCAAATATACAAAAAGATCACCAAAAAGTTTAAGTTTGGTGTGTCAGGTGGAGATACAGAAACATTCTGACAATTGTGTGTTTAAAGTAGCTAAAAAGTAGTGCACTACTTTTCTAAAAGTAGCTAAAAAGTAGAGACTACTTTTTCTGGAAAAGTAGCTGAATTGTAGCTAGCTACACATTTTGGGTAAGTAGCTAAATTGTAGCTAGCTACTAATTTTTCAGTAGCTATCCCAACCCTGGTCATAAGTGGCTCGTTACTGAAGTTACAGAAAACAGCCGACACTCGCTGTAAGGGTCAAAAGCCTCATTTAACAAATTTTCCCACCCAAGTTTATCATTTTCAAATGGACAAGCCAACAGCTAGGATTGAAGAGGAGACAAATGGGAGAGAGCGTTAAGAGGGTATGTAATATACTTTAAAAATCACCTTTACATACATTAACATGATTTGTAAGTTTAGTTCAGTGAGATTGGCTATTTCGAATTATTGTTCCAGTATGGAAAGTGACAAGTTATAACTATAGCTAACAATACCGTTTTGGCACAACACTTGAAAAGCACAGGCTAGCTAGGTTAATGAAATGTCTATCAGTTCAAGGTTTAGTTACGTTACCCTTTGTTGCTAATTCGTCGTGAATAATGTTAACTTGTTCCTTTTAAATGTTCAGAGTAGTTAGCTAACGTTAGCTCGCGGTTAGCGGGTTAGCTCGGAGCTAACGCGTTAACCGCGCTAACCAAAGCTAATTGGAGTTCTGTGGCTGCTTACAGTGAAACAACGGATTATGGTGTTATTCCTGATTGTCAGATAAAGGGATTTGTTGTACAGTGTGACACAAAAAACGATGTTATCTGGAAATCCGTTAAAGAAGTAAATGATAGCTGTATGCTTTTCCTCTTTCCTCAGGCATCAGGAAGTAGACAGGTTTTGACCGATGTAGAATTTTAGGAATGTTTATAAGTGGTAGGTTTTTACTTTAGAACAAGTATTTTGAAAACGTTTATTATTATTATTATTATTATTATTATTAAAGTCACTGAATAACTGTAACTATCTAGTATGTAATATAAGTCTTTGAACAACAAATCACTTTAAACTTCGATTACCTACTATTACTATAGGTTATGTAATTAACAAAAAACATACTATTTTTATTATATTATCTAAAATATACAAATATTGCTTGTTTTAACTGGTGTATTCACTAGCTGTTGTATGAGGTTCATCTACAACAGACCAGAACACTTCTGTTTTGTGTATTTGCTTTGGTGCATTCATATTTTTTTTACTTCGAAAATGTTTATAATTATGATACACAATAAAAAAATCTGAATACATTCTAAATGTTTTTGCTTTTTGTTTTGTTTAAGGGATTCTGCACTGGTAAAAATGAATGTATGCAAAACAAAGCTAAATGATCATAATATACGCACGTAAGCTCATGACGGAACCAGTTAAAAGTCTCTGTATAACTTCTTACATTACTACCACCATAGGGTTTCTAAATTCACCTCTTGCCAAAGTGGAATCCAATGCAAATCCCAGAAAGGGCCCATGTTTAATTTAATATAGCATAAAATCTTGTATTTAAAATCATTAGCGATACAGCAGATTATCCAGTTTTGTATTTGTTTAAAATAAAATGTCTGAGAAATTACATTCTAAACTCACTTGAACAGTGCTCCAAGGAATATGACAGATTTAGCCTCTATTTCAGTGGCCTCTCCACTCGGATCAAGCATTTTTTATCCGCCATGGTTTAAAATGAATGCAGAAATATTGTGAGGAATGTATTTATGAATGTGGAATACATTATACTCTTTGACACAAAGCAGATGGTCTGCAGAACGACCAGCAGTATATGTCCTTGAAGATGTACATACAAAGACTGCAGACAATGATCTGTCACACAGGTGAAGCCTTTTTTCTTCATTCATTTACTGTTTTTATTTATTTAACCAAAATCAACATGGAGTTTTCATTCTGAAATGGTTTTTGACACGTATTGATTATTAAGAAGAAATATTGCTAATATTTTACATGTTCTGCAATAAATGAGTGTGGCATCCTGCAGAGCCACATTTTACTGTTTGCTAAGTGATAAACGTGACAAAACTTTGATGAAAGTGACTGTAGAATAAGGAGATGTTGCTAAGAAAGTGCTCGGTGAGTGTAAGGTAAAGCTTCAGGAAGCCTCTGTGGTTGAACTCCTTCAAACCTACACTAAGCCTTAAGCACTCCTTAAGCTGAACTTTTTATCGTGTCAGTTTTCTGACTGATATTTAACACTGCCGCTGGTGTATCTTTCCTCGGTCTAGATCCCAAAGCCTTTGTTTAACCTTACTATTAAATTTGTCCGTGTTGTAACTCCGTTTCCGTTGCGTCTCAGATTAAGAAAAGCGGAGCGCTATTAAAAACGAAATGAATTGAAAAGCCACTGGCTCCCTCTAGCGTCTCCACTCACCACTGCGCCAAAACGCTGAAACGTCCCTGCCGCCCAAAACCTTATCACGGCAGTCACAGCATATTTCCACCACTAGAGGTCGCTGTCACCACTAGATGGGTTTTCGCTCCCTTGAACAATAAAATCACTTGTCGCGAGGCAGCGGATCTGTTTTTTTCTCCACCCGTTTTCAGACAAACCCGCCCTCATACGCTGCGATTGGCTAATCATGTCCCTCTTCCTGCGCTATAATTGGCTAGCCGTATTCAACATTCCACAAGCCAATCCCAGCGCACGTGATGGCACGAGGCTAGCCAATCTCACTATGTTAGGGCGGGGCTTTGCGGAATACGGGTAGGGAAAAAAAACAACGCGAGGTAGCAGCATCCTGTGCAGGAGGAGGAGGCTGAGGAGGATGCGTCTGAAAGGCAAGGCGCCTTCAGCAACCATCTGTACATGTAAAAACATGGATGAATAGACATGGCTGCTGAAGTGGGAAGGGAGATGTAGCTTTGAGGATGCCATCCATGCACGTTTCCCACTTGTTTCTCTTTCTCCTCTTTTCCTTCGTTGGACGGAGTGTGTGCAAATCCATCGCGGAGAATGGAGCCCTCGGTGAGTGAGCACACATGCTGCAGCAAAAAGAAAAAAGAGAAAACACAGCAGCCTCCACGCCCATGCTTTTCACTCGTGCAGGCTTATTGTAAATAATGTACAGTTCGAAATCGCGATTGCATGCAGGTGCTTGGTGAGAACCTGTCCTGGGCTAGAAGCGTGCATAACGGAGAACATGTATGTTGGGGAAAGAGACGCCTCGACCTGTGTTGGCTCATTGTGGATTTCAGGGCTTTGGTCAGATGCAGCGTCGCCACGAATTCTAATGGCACCTCCTCGCGCCCTGAAGGTGTCAGTTCACACTATGGGTGTTTATTCAGCCCTAAGTGTTCATTGCAGGGGTACGAAACGTCGTGTATATATAATGTCACTATCTAGGTGTTTACTCATATCGAACCTAGGTGTTCACTGTAGGAGTTCTAAATATGGTATGTGTTAATGTAACACTGTACGTGTGAATTCAGCAAAATAAGTCTCTATGCAAGACTGGGTGCTTGAATGCCAAACTACAGTTCATTTCACACTAGCTGTTACTTCAACACTGTGGGTGTTAATTTAGTACTACATGTAATTGAGCTCTAGAGGTGTTCATTCTGCACTATAGGTTTTCAGCACAATAGGTGTCAATTCCACATTAGCTGCTTGAATTTAAAACTGTAGGTGTTTATTCAACACTGTAGGTGTTAGCACTGTAGCTGCTAATGTAACAATATTTAGGTGTCAATTCAATACTGTTGGTCTCAATTCTGTCCTTTAGGTGCTCATTCAGTGCTGTAGTTGTTCATCAATACTGTGATAATATCATGCTATAGGTGTTCATTCAACACTGGGTGGTTGAATCCAACACTAGGTGTTCATTTAATGCTGTAGCCATTAGCACTGCAGCGGCTATTGTAATAGTGTGGGTGTTAGACAACGCTGTAGGTGTTCATTCGGCACTGTATGTTTTTAACAGAACACTGTAGGTCAGGGGTGGGAACTCTGGTCCTGGAGGGCCTGATTCCTGCACAGTTTGGTAATTTTGAGTTGAATAAGGTATGTTTGAGCAGAGGCCCTCAGTTCCCCACCCCTGCTGTTCATGTAAAACTCACAGGGTCATATGGCCACAGTGGGTTTGTTTGTTGCATGTGACAATTCCTGGAGAAGGTTGTCACGATACCAGAATTTTGGTTTTGATACCGATGTAGCAAGTGTCAAGCAACACAAAACTTGATACTACGGAGGTCCGCTGGTGACGTCCTGTATAAATAAAAATAATGCATAGCCACAACTTAGTAAGGAGTGGGAACAAGATAATTAAGTCGTGGCCATGACTTAGGAAGGTGTGGGAATGAGATCCTAATGCGTGGCTACGACTTAGTAAGGAGTGGGAACGAGATCCAAATGCGTGACCACGACTTAGTAAGGTGTGGGAATGAGATCCTAATGCATGGCCACGACTTAGTAAGGTGTGGGAATGAGATCCTAATGCGTGGCCAGTTTAGTAAGGTATGATGTCGTTCCCACGCCTTACTAAGTCGTGGCCACTACTTAATTATCTCATTCCCACACCTTACTAAGTTGTGGCCATGCATTACATTCCCACAAGTTAATAAGGCTTAGCCACGCATTATTTTTATTTATATGGGATGTCACCAGCAGGGCTCCGTATGATACCAAACAATACTATGGCAAAAAATGAAGAAACTCATCATTGTCAGAATGCCAAATCTGTATTGGACGCAGAAAAAACATTCTGAATTTTACAGCTTAGTTAAAATCCCTTATTTTTTAATTCAGTCTATTTTGTATCAATGCAAAATTCTTCAAATGTTAAATAATCAAACAATTACTTAAATATTGAAACACAGCCTCATTAAACATGTTCTGAAGGATTAACAGTGAGATGAAGAAAGACAGTATAGCCATATTCAGCACACTGTGTTCAAAACAAATACAATATGGCTCATACCTTATGTTAATGGATTCCAAGCACATACGCCAGTTAGATATGCTAATGGGTACATCTCTGTCCATCCTAATCAAATAAGCATGTCCAGTTTCATTTGCCTATAAACTTCTAAAAATGGGTTCTTGGCTTGGATGTGTGGTTCTAGGAAACTTTTGATGCTTTGTGCAACTCCACTCTTGGAATTTGAGTGCATTCGAGTCTAAGCAATGTGAAATTAACACCTACAATGTTTATTTGGACACAAATGAACATTAATAGGTCATTAAACACTTGGGGTTTTCCAGCAAAGAGGAAATATTCCATCATTATTTTTTTTTCCCCAAACCTGAAACATATCTTATTTTGAACATTTCTGACAGGGGTGGACGATATGGCAATATTTTGTCATTACTGTGATAATTTATGTCACAATACACTTTTCTAAGCTATTGTGTATATCGTCAATACTTAAAGAACAATGACCAACTACGTTTTGTTACCAAGAAAAAATAGTAATTTTTAATTGGATTTAGTGCAGTAGAGCTTGTGAAACATTAAAGTCATTGTTGTTGTAGGTTTATTATAGGATCTTTATGTGTGGCACTACAGGTTCTATTTTGTCTGTTCCATCAAATCTCAAAAAAACTAAATATCGTGATGCATATCGTGTACCCTTAAAATGTCTTGAAGTATTGTAATAAAATATTTTGGCCATATTGCCCACCCGTTTCTGACCATCTGTAGTTTTTTAAATGAGTCATTGGATTGTCTCATTGTTAGACAGACAGTCCTGATGATACAGCCAGTATGTAATACATGATGACCAATACCCACACGAGTCATTCATCTCAGAAGAAGGTTCAGATCTTTTATGTTTGCTGCAAAATGAATGAGCAGAACAGTGAAATTATGAAAAACATTCCATATGCTAACAATTAAAAAAAGTCACAATACACGGTTTATGAAACTACATCATATTCCCAAAATAAAATAGCCAGTCTCCCCAAACCTAACACAGAAAAGAAAAACACAGCTATCAAAACCATGTACCGTTCTTCAAGCTTGTATCAAAACTAAACAAAATTATTTAGATTAACTTTAAAACCAGTTTGAAAGTAATATGACAATGTGAGTTTAAGATATTAATGTAAACTTACAATTCTTTAAGCAGGGTCCTCTAACTGTAACTTTTGTATTTTGGTAGTAAATTGAAGTGAAACACCCAGGTTTGATGTGAAATGATTGACTGTATGAAAATTTACCAACTCAGAGTTCTTTACAGTGGTGATGATTTGTGTCTACAACACAAATATAGCCACTTTATTTTCTATCCAAAACAACCAGTGACTTGTGTTGATGATGGTAAAATAGTGGTAAATATGGGAAAAGTTTTCCTTGGGGATTATTTTTCCTTACAACATCCTGTACCTCTCTGCCATGAATTCTTTAAAAAAATATGAAGAATACATTTTAAGCCTTTTCTCAAAATAATAAAACAGTGTTGCAGGCTTCATACAATGTATTTGCTACCATTTTGTGTAATAACTTTGTGAGGTAGCTTATAGAAGTATTAAACTTTGCAGACGTCTGGTTCCTCTCACCACTGCTGTGAACAATTCTGACTTAGTAAGCAAGCACCCTTTCCACCGGACAGTGTGATACAGTTACAAACTTGTGAGTGCATATTTTGTCATCATTTTTTCACTGCCAAGTGAACCATACCATACCTGAGTGCCCGTGCTGAACCTGGTTACCCTTCTTGCTGGGGTACCAAGTGTGCAGAGCCAGAACGCATAAGTGGAGCTAGGAAATGGTGCAAGCCACTGATTGGTCAAGCACTCAGAGAATTGTCACTCAAGTCAGACAACCACCATTAAAAAAAACACCAGCTTCACATGTTGGTGGGTCACATGTTGGTGGATGATGGACGACCTCAAGTTGGACATTCAGTTGTTTTCGGTGAAACTGTGACGGAAAATTATAACACTGCCAGCAGCAAGGGTTGTGTCAAGAGTTCAGTTTTCCAAAATTTTTACTGTAACCACAGCAATGAAATAAACCGGATATTGATTTTTTTTTTTTGGAGGGGGGGCACAATGCAATTGCAGACAAACCCATTATTATACAGCAAAAAGTAAGAGTACAGAGATCCTCCTGCCTTAAATTAACCAATAATACCACTGCTAAAGCTCTGCTCATATAATCATTCTTTTTCTCTGGTAATGTTGCCACCATTGCTGTCTTCATGCCGCCAGCAGTCATGTACCTCTGTGAGGCGCTTTTTTCGCACCCCAACATGTGAACGCAGTCTGACTCTACACATGACTTAATCAGAGCTGAAGGCTCCCCTGTCTTTGCTCTTGCTGTTTGTGTTTGCTGTTACTAGTGTTGTGAGAACAAAACTGTGTAACCCAGCCCTACATACTTGAAACTCAACCAGGTATTTGACCAGGGTACTGAGTTCTGAGGCCAGATTTACTGCACCACCCAGTGCAAAACACCTTAAGAAATTCACTTATTCACTGTTAAAGTTAATCAGGGAACAGTTTCTGAAAACAATGGAGTAATGTTCATATGATGTTTCTCTTGCAGAGGTGCAGGTGAGGGTTCAGGTGTTTGACGGAGGTGACCTGTCACCCCTGTCCAAAGCTGCCATTGTTGTCCATGGCAACCAGAGCGTGCTGGCCTCCAGGCAGGCAGAGAATGACGAAGCAGTGGTCGTAAATTTCCTGTACCGCACAGGCACATGGGTCATCATCACAGCATCTCACAAAGATTATGTCACCAGCTCAGTGCCCTGGCATGCCAACAGAGTGCCCTGTGAGTAAACACTTAAAGTCTCACAATTTTCCTCAAAAACAACTAGTTGTTGAGATTTTTAAATAGTAAGTTTTAGTGTTTTTTGTGCTGTTATTTCGATCTTATGATGAGACCTGATACAAAACATGATCTCACCTGGGACTATTAAACTGCTCAACTCTTTTAAATGTTGTGGAGAGTGATGCGTTTCTGTACGTCCACTTTTCTCCCTTTAGTTTGGGCAGAATACTAGCTCATGCTAATAGTAAATTGCAGTCTCATGCTAATATGTTAAAATACTCATTTGCAGTTCATGTAAAGTAATCTGAGCACATTGTGATGATCAAATGTGTTTAGGTTTATGGTTGTACAAAACCATATAGAACCCTAAACTAGATTCAGGTCTGTGCCCTGTAAAGCCTATAAGACAGGGGTGTCCAATCTTATCTACAAAGAGCCGGTGTGGGAGATTTGTGTTCCAAACAATGAGAGCACACCTGATTCCACTCATTTAATCAGTCAGTCTCAGCCTTTAAACAACTGATTATGTGTGCTCTGCTTTGTTGCAACAAAAACATACAGCCACACTAGCCTTTTGTGGTTAAGATTGGACACCCACTGCTATAAGAAGTATTTTTCTGCAAAGCTAGAAGCACAAAACAAAATCATTTTAAAAAGGCACTGTAGAGGAACACCTAAAATCACTGCAACTGCTCATTATTCTTAAACTGTTGGTTTATTCACTGACACATTTTTTGGCAAAGTGGTGAGCCTTGACCCACACTTACTCGTAAAGGCCTTGTTTATTATGGGTCATCCATCACTCCATCCCAGCATAAGGTCTTACTGCCCTTGTGGCTGTAATAGCAACTGCAGACACATGGAGCCGCTGTAATCTGCTCTGTTTGGCTGGATTAGTTTTGGATTAAATATGGATTAAATTGGGATTATTGCTGGTTAGTGGGGCATTAGGTGGTTAGAGCATATTAGGTCAAGTGGAAGGCCTGAATCTTGGAGCACTTTATTAAAAACAATAGTGAAAGGGTCAGACTTTGGACTTTTGTGTCGATTGAGAGTAGAGCTGAATGGACATGTTGAGCTGGACTGAATTTAGTGTGAAGTGTCCTTGTATAGCATACATGAATGAATATATGAATGAGATTTGTTTCAGTACATTACACAAGTGGAAGAACATGAATTTTGCATAGTTGACTATATACTTACATAAGATCTAAGATGTTGTATAGTGCGTATGAAGATGGCAGACAGCAATGTGTGTGTCTGACTATTTTACAAGAATGCTAATCTAGTATCAGCATCTCATGTGCACTTATTATCTGTTAAATCATGTTAAGAATAGAATGCACCAGAATTCTTAGTCTTCTAAGTTTGACCTTGCTTCTCATGTTTCTTTCTCTGTCTGTCTGTCTGCCTCTCAGTGTATGCCTCTGTCAGCCTGTATTTGTTGGCCCAACGACCAGGAACACTTATCCTGTATGATGATGTCATCCAGGTGTTCCATGGCTCTCCTGGTAAGATATGCTGATGATGACGATGGTGGTGATAATTAGTATTATTACATAATACAGTAATATAGCAGTTTTTGTCTTTCTAAGATAATGAACATTTTTCTATTTCTGGTTTCAAAATTGGGAACAGCAAACAGACTAAAGATGAATGAAGTACCACATACATCCCTCTATTCAGCCTACAACAGATTAACTCCACCCATTCACTCATAGGTTATAGGGAGTGGTTCAGTATGAACAAGCCAACCAGAACAGAGCTCATTTACATATAACAGTCTTAATGGCACAGTAACAAAAACAGCCTGTTAAATTCGAAGGGATGAAGAAAGGCTGGAAAATAGTCACATAAAAATGAATTATTACTGTTTTTGGTACATAAAACTACACAAACATTAAGCTGACATCAATGAAAATAGGAAAATACAAGAAATATATAGGAGATGCACCTTTTAATAGTTTGGCAAAATATAATTTACGTAATTTTCCACTTATCCTAGATGTAATAACTTAAGACATGTTTTGTGTCCAAATTTTGCTTCTTCAACTGTGAACAAAACTCCAGTGTGTAGTTGAACTTTATATGAAGTTATTTTGGACAACAGGTGTTGTGCCGAATTCTGGCTCGCCTGCAGAATCTGGCTCCACTTTCTGTACATGCAGGTCTCTCAGGCATATGGATAGCTAGATGTATGCTGTAGCGTCCGTATGCCTGTGTGACAAATGAATAGGATGTGGAATTGGGCACAACAACCACTGTTGTCTACACTGACTGCCTATTGCGTTCAGATACACAATAAATTCACCTTTATAGTACATAGTAAGTCATTCTGCATCCTAAGTTTGTGCAACCTTAATTAAGACCAGAATGACGTTTGAGCCCATGTGTGCATACACAGTTTCTGTTAGTCTTCCTCTAGCCCTTCATAGAAAGGCAGGATACACCCTGGACAAGTCGCCAGTCCATCGCAGGGTAACTCCATCAACGCCACATGTCTAATACACTCTTATTAGCAGCACACACACTACCACACCACTACCTTGTCAGTTTCGCTGCTGCTCTGAGAGAATGATCCACCACCCAAATAATGTCTGGGCAACAGTGGTCCTGTGGCCAGAAACTGGCCAGCAACGAACGGAGGAGAGGGCATAATTTTGCATGATAACAAATGATCTGCAGACTGTATATGTACACCTACATAGTGGATCTGTTATGTAGGTGGAGCTCATATAGTGACTAGTGAGTGATATTACAGTGTTTCTAGTAATGTGGACAATTAGTTTAATTGACTACAACAAAACAGTAAAGGAAACAATATTTTTCTTGAGCTCTCTGAAATGTGTGCAGATTTGCTTACTGTCTCTCTCTTTCTCTCGCTCACATTCAGTCACAGACACAAATATACCCATGCATTCCTGTAGCCTTGAGCTGTGCATCATTGAGCCACTACCATTTCCTGCTACTGTTGCCATAGCAACAACAGCAGTATTGTTTCTGTTGTTAACCTTCTTTGGGCGTACATCCTCACATTTACAGAAATATGAGATATAAAACGAGACACTAAAAGATTTTCAGATGTTCACTGAACTGACACTCAGTAGTTTTTGGCATTTGTGCGTTTATGTATGTGTATGTTTGTTGTAACAGCTAGATACATAGCACTAAGAGGCCTGTAGGCCATCTCAGGCCATCTGTAGGCCTTAGTTAAAGGGACATTCTGGCCTAAAACTAGACCTTAACGTGTTATTCATCATGCAGTGTCATGTGCTGTGGTGCAGCATTATATCCCTCAACATTATCAGTCTGACAGAATTCAGAACTTTATATTGTTGTGTTTGTATATGATTTTCACTACAATACCCAGCAGTTTTATCTTTTGAATGACATGACAATGGATTGTGCTTAATGTGACCAAGGACATGAACTAACGAGGTGAGAGAGGTCCATTTTGTTTTCAGGTTGACTTTAAGAGACTTATATTGTAGAAGTACTGGGTCAAAAGAAAAACGATTTACTCTGTAACACAGAACACTGTCTGCTGCTGTTCAGTAAGTACCATTTATGATATTAATTTGTTATTGCATTCCTAATTGGACCTGCAGGTGGGCGAAGTCAGCCATGGCTGCACATTCCAAGGAGGAGCTTGCAGCTGAATACCTCCTTCTCTGAGATGACTACAGTTTTGACCACTGCCAGAGATATGAGTGAAATCAATGCCTTCCCCTACCTCCTGGCCTTGGAGCTCAACACCACAGGTCATACATCATAGAAAGAGAGACTTTATATATTTCTAATGCAGCAAACTTACCTATATTTTTGCACTAAACCTGACTTATTTCTTTGAGAATCATTATAAAGGTAGTCATCAACAGCTTTCATTATGCAATATGTTACAACCCAACATAACTATAAATACCATCCATATATTCTGAATCTGGCAATAACATGCTGATGATATCAGTGTAATTTGTTTTCTGAAGCACTGTGAATTTGTGTGCCCATGTGTGTGTTATGTGTGTAGGAGGAGAGAATAGCTGGACTGATCTGACAGCAGTAGCAGCGGTCAGTGCTCAGCTGTTTGACCGAGAGGGCCATATGGTTCAGGTTACCGAGTCCATTCATGTCTCTGTTCCTCTGCCCTCTGACTCACGTGTCCGCTCCCCAACCAGCATACCGGTGTGGGTGTACGACACTAAAACAGGTACATCTACATGAAGAGTCCGGTACAGAAACCTCGCTGACAACTCTGTGCTGATTGTATTTGGGTGGTAGTTTTCTCAGAGGATGAACTCGTTCGCCGTTTTACCATTACCATTTATTATATTTGTACAGTTTCTCTGATTGATTTCCATTGTTTGACTGTTCACTTCTATCTTCTGCCATGATGAAAATAGCATTGACCTCACAACTCAGCCAATCTGTGCTGCATCAAAAATTTAGATGTACCTGACTTCATCTTCAAAGGGCATTCCTGTCGTGGGGAACTTGTTTTTCTCGATAAAACTGAGAGCACTTAAAAGCACCGCAAGGGCGAAACTGTACTTCAGCATCTGTGAATTTGTGCACGCATTGGGCCATGTTCAGAGTCGGCAACTTAAGTGGGCCACTTAAAGATGAACTCCAATGTCAAATTTCATCCATTAGCTGTAATGACATTCTATTAGATGAAGTACTGAGTTTAAAAAATACTTAAGGGTTCAAATATTAATCACTAAACAAGGTCGCTAATTCAACAATATTGAGAAACTTCAAATTAGACCTTTCCAGAAGAGGTGAAACTGCATATAGAATGAACAATATGTTGTTTGTATGTCTGTTAAAAGCATCATATGCTGGTGTTTAAGCTAGAATTGAAATCAAATGCTAGCTTAGTGCTAACAAACACCACACATTCCCATAGGCTGCTAGCAGAAATCAGCATTATGCTAGTGGCTAATCAGAAGGGAACTTATAAAGTGAATTACAAACAGTAATGTACAGTATAGGCTTATGTATGCTGAAATAACTTCCACATGCTCCTAATGAATATGAGTGCTAAATCTATTATCTCTAGTCTAGGTTCTTTAAGGAGACTGGCTGATTTAATTCAACCTGGCTGACATTAAAAATGACCCTTTCCACCCCAAGGATGACAAAAGACAACAACTATTAATAATTTGATGTGTGTGTTTGATATGTGTGTTGTATTTCTACACTATTATCAAAACTAATGATTTCTATTAAATCTCTAAGGATCAAGTCTAGTTTGTGAAAAAATGTATTCATGAAATAAATAAATAAAAAACAGCAAGAGTATCTAAAATGTTCAACAATACACATTGAATATACATTATACACTAAATTTGTGTTATTTTGGCCCAAAAAAAGCAGTAAACAGTCAAAGTAATAATTTCAAAATAATAATCCAACCGAGATCAATAAGATAAATAAACAAACAAAATATTTCTAATGATTATCAAAACTTAATCAATTCCCCCTTCCCTAAGGGCACTCAGTCTCTACTGCTCTTCCACAACGTAATGTCTCTGTCCCTGATCCTAGAGATGGTGAGTATCAGAAAGCTGAAAGTGTGTTGTTGAAATGAGTTGATGATGCGTAGATGATGACGTGGCTCACTGAGGGAAGTAGGGCAGTCCAGCTCAAATGTAGCTCAATAATAATAATTGGAAAAAAATAGCCTGCACACAAATGTACAAGCATTCATTTAAATGTCCAGTTCAGTCACTCATTCAGCACTTATATATAACTACTATATAATCCTAAGAAGTCCCGTTCTAAGAAAGAGATTTGAATTGTAACATCGGTTGTAAGTTATATGGTCTCTACAGTTACAGCAGCAAAGCGCCTTGCAATATAACTACTTTTCACAGCTCTAAAATAAATATATACATACACATTAAATAATGGAACACTTCACCTAAAAAATAATTCTGTTTTTTAGGTTAAGAGATTGTTGCTAAAAATGTCTAATATCAGTGTCTATATCAAATGCTACATTAACTCATCCTACTCAGCAGGATCTGTCCGTGTATCAGGTGCAAAGTCATAAAATGTTGTGCTGGTTGTGTACTTGCTCTGCTACACATTTAAAAAAAGATGGTCCTTCAAGGGTTCTTTGCATGATGAAAGAGTTCTTCAGATTGATGGAGAATGTGCTGTACATGGTTCTATATAGAACCTTTTTAAAAGGGGTTCTACGTAGCATCCAGAAGGGTTTTTCTAGTGTTAGAAGCTTGACATTGACATGTATTTAGAACCATCTACAACACATTCTTCTTCACATTCTTCAATTCCTTTCATGATACAAAGAACGCTTTAATCATTCAAAAGGTTCTTTGAGTGTTCATGATTTTCTTTACTAAAGAACCCATCTTTTTTAAGGGTGTATCCGTTCTGCTAATAAAGAAGCTACAGTTTGAAAGAAAATAACACCAACTGACTGTTTTTTAACCAACATTCTAAAGTTTGTATTTAAAGGGACAGTACAGCAGTGTGCTTGTGCTGTTAGGCCAACATCCCCAACATCTTGTACATCCCCCTAGATTACAACCAGTGAATTTCAGCATAAAATTTTGTGGTTACAGTAATTGGTCAGAAAGTGGCACTGGACTTAATAAAGCTCCTCGCAGGGGTGGATGTTGCACAAGGCAAATGCTATTAGGTTGAGAGTCTGAATCGTGGACAACGGAGTTCTTGTCACAAGGTAACGTTTAGCCCTGCAAGATTAAGAATTCATCTCATTGTTTTATTGTTTTCATGTTTTGAAGAGTAGTCCTGTAGATGCTTATAATGACAAACCTCATTGGCCAATCTATTTTTTTCCTTGTGCGTGCTTTTTCCTTCATGCATTTTTTTCCTTTTTGGGTTCCATCCGTAATGTTTCTCTGTTCCAGTAATCAGCATGTGCTTGACACATAGCAAAACAGATTCACACAGTGTTTTCACAGATACAAAAGTGAACCTTAACACACCTCAGATTCATTTGTGCAGTCTATCATGCAAGCTGTGAACATATCCAGTATGGATATAGCAAACAGATGGATACACACAAACACAAATATATACACACACACAATTTAAAATCCCAAGACTGCTATTACTCCATGGACAGTATAAGCACATGCTCTGTTAAATTCTTTTCTGAACCTGAGAACAAGTAAACCATCTGTCTACATATGAACGCTTCTGTTCTCACTATAACCCACCACTCAGATGAAGCTTGGGTTTCCATAAATGAGCATCATTAAGGGTGCTTTTGTTCTTTGCAGGCCTGTGGCTGAGGAATGGTACTGGCTACATTAAGAGAGATGGAACTCATCTTACATTGGACTTCATGGCCTCACGACTTGGCTATTGGATAGCAGCCTTCCCTTCTACATCAGGTAATGTGCACACTAACACATGCGTGCAAAGACCTTCAGCTTGAAACAGAGCTTGAAATGTTGTCCCAAACCTGATGTCATTTTGGGTTTGGGCATCATTTCCCAAACATTTGACTTGGGGTTAGGTTCCTCACAGCCAGTTTCCCATCTTTTAACAGATTTTGGCCTTCATTATTATTTGTAACAGTGCTTTAATTGTGCTTTAGTTGAGTTGTTGCCTATGGTAAGTGAATACTATTATTTTATTTAATGATGTTATATAATAGGTGTATATCATGCGATCAATAAATGATAGGCCGCAACATGGGTTTATGTATATTTATGTATATAGTTTCATTACAAGATGTAGCCATTGTGTGGGGAATGTACCTTCAGGGAAGAGCCTGTGTCTAAAATAATAATAATAATAATAATAATAAGAATAATAATAAAAACTAAAGCATTTAAGAGTAACTAAACCTAAAAATAAATCGAAGCAAAAATATAGTCAGCCACCCTAACTGCCTGCTCCCTACCTTTTAAACAATCTTGTCATGTTTAAATGTAAAACTGTTTTTCCAAACTCACTGTTACAACGAAAAACAAGTTTACTTTTGAAGTCCGCCTTTACAATGTGCTGGATGGATTTAGATATTTCACACTCCATTTGTTTCCACCCTAATACATCACACTCCCAGTAACATTTAGCCCAACGTCTCTAATGGTTGTCCCCACATATTTTTGTCACAAGATTACATCTGGCCCCATGAGGCTAAGAATTCATAAGAATTCATTGTGACCTCATTGTTTACCTGTTTTAAGAGGAGCCATAGAAATGCTTATTATGACCAACCTCCTTAATCTGTTGTCCAGCTACTCTAACCAAACCCAAATAGAAAAAGAAACAAAAAGACAAACAAAAATACAAATAGTTACCCTAACTCCCTGTTCAAAAAACAGGAGAATAAGGAATGACCATAAGAAAAGGCGCTGTAGAGACTTGCACAGTCTCGTCACATTTTAATGCACAACTGGTTTTCCAAACTCATGTTACAGCAAAAAGCAAAAAAGTTACACAAGTTCACAAACTGCCACTACCACAAATTACAAAAGCTACACCAGATTAACAGTATTTGCAGGAAGTGAAGTGTGTCGGGTTAGTCTGGAGTGATGTACTAAAGGGGAAAGAATACTTATACTTTACTTTTATTGTTCCTACAAGAGAAATTTGAAGGGTTAGACGTCTTGCCAATGGGAATACACAGTCAGCCCTGCGATTTGAACCCATAACCTTCCGATTACCTGCTGACCTCTCCTAACGCTAGGCTACTGGTCACCGGTTTGGTTAGTACTACATACTACTCATACTACACTAATAAATGAAATTCTAAAGGTGGTGCACTTTTATTACGTACTATGTATGCAGTTTTGGACACAGGCCATGGTTGTGCCTTGTCCGTCCTCATTATAGCGGAAGCGCCCTTGTGTGGCCAATCAAAAACCCTCCACACACTGCGCACACACAAAACAGAAGCAGCAAACACACAGAAGGAATATTACGACTGGAGGTCATAATGATGATTATGTAATACATATCAGGCAATAATCAGTTAACAGCTTAATATTATGACTCACTTATGGCATAGGCTGTGAACTCACATCACAGTATAGCAGCATTACAGTATTACAACTTTAAACTAGCCTTGAGTACTACAGAGCTGCTCCCAATAGCATATCTCTGACCAAGCTTGATATTGCACTTTAGGCCCAGGTTTGTCTCATCCAAGCCTGAGGGACATTACAGCCTACCATACCCTCTTTCTGCTCTCCATACTGGGATCTCTGGCTCTCCTTGTACTGGTACTGCTCTGTGTCCTCCTCTACTACTGCAGGTCTGTGTATGCTTTGTCAGTTTTTGTTATGTAACTTTTCTGTTCTTTGAATGAAAAATATTATCCAACCATTTACAATGTACCTTTCCTATGACAAGGCTTTACAAGGGCTCTGACACATATCAGCTCACATCCATCCTTCTGTCTCATTTTTGCTCTTTGTTTCTGTCTTGCTCTGAGTTAGACGGAGGTGTCTGAAGCCTCGGCGTCAGCAGAAGCAGGTCCAGGCCTCATCTGCTCTTTGTGGCTCCAAAAGAGACCAGGGCACCTCAACCTCTCGTCTAAACCTTATTTGTGGTGGCCATGCTGAACCTGCTGCTTCCAATGGTGATCTTGATGCCAGCAAATCTGACACCTCACCCTCCCGTGAATACAAGAGCGCAAGAGAAGAGCTCTCCAAACATGTACCGGCACATAAACTCCGGCATTCATCCAAGAATAAACAATCAAAAGGGGCCCACCGAGGGGTTGAAAGCTTCCCCATGAAGGTACATCGCTCCACAGAAACAAGCAGCCTTGACAGCACCCTTCTCCATGATGACTACGGGCGCAACTACAGCCCAGATGACAAGGATCATGACTACCGTCGCAGACATGTTGTCAATGACAATCGTGGGTACACAGCAGATCCACCTTCTCCACCCATTCCAGACAAGCCTCCTGAATACTCACAGGTTTCCCAAGGCCCAGACCTCTTAGCTCGTCCAACGTCGCTGAACACACAACCTGGCCAGATCATATTCTGCAGCTCTTTGGATCAAATGACTGAGAACATGTACCGCAGCATGGTTCCAACCTTGGTTATCCCAGCACACTACATGCGCCTGTCGTCTGAGTTCAATGCCTCAGAAGCCGCAAAGGACAGCCAAGGCCAAGCTGAGAGGGAGAGCCAAGGAGGGGCAGGTAATGGTGTCAGCAGTGGAATCCAGAACCAAGGTCACCAAGGCCAGAGCCAGGGATCAGGCCAGATGCAAGCTCAGCCAGGGGTGGGGTCTCCAGCTGGCTCGGATGAGAACATGTGGGCATCTGGAGGTCCATCAGCACCAGTCCACATCCCGGTCCTCTTTAATGACTCCACCATGGCACAGATGAATGGAGAGCTTCAAGCACTTACGGAGAAGAAGCTTAGAGAACTAGGCGTAAAGCAGCACCCTCGTGCCTGGTTCATATCACTCGACGGACGTGCCAATGCCCACGTGCGCCACTCCTACATTGATGTCGGCTCTGAGCTAGGCCACAGTGGAGCAAACAGTAGCAACCACAGTGCTCAGAGCACCCTCAGCGCCCCCGCTGGCACCAGTAAGGATTGCAGCCCAGATACAAGCCTCCAAGATACCCCACATGAGCGCAAACAGATCTCTGGACGTAAGAGTAAAGAAGAGCGGCATGGGAGTGGACGTAAAGGGCATGGAGGGAATAGCGGCAGTAGCGGGAAGCAGTATTCAAAGCTGCCTTACCATGACCCTCTGGATCTCAGTGGTGGTGTCGGCCGCATGGGGGCAGGGTCACCACTGGAAAACCCACTGACTCCCCTCCTAGATGACGGTCCTGAGGAACCACGAGGGTCAACGATGCCAAGAAGGGGTCGCAGCCGGGGGAATAGCTCACGTAGCAGCAACAGTGAGACCCAGCGTGACTCTGTCACCAGCCCAGAGGATGAAAATGACCCTGATGACAAAGATGAAAACAAGAAAAGCCCATGGCAGCGTATTGAGGAGCGACCACTCATGGTGTTCCATGCCAAGAAGTAAAATAGTAGAATATATAAAGACCAGGCCTCTACAAAATAAACACAAGCACTGTGTTCAAATTGGCATTTGTTAACAAAGGTTTGCTTGAATCACCAAACTGGTTAAAGTCAGATTTCAGTGTCAGAATCTTTTCAATATCCGAATCTTTTCAAGCTGAACTTAATCAAATAGCATTACATCACATGCCATAAATACATTCTAATGTGGAGATGAGACTTGTAAGCAGAAGAGACTGATTGTTCAGTTTGAACACACAGGTAAAGATATTACACAGCTGGATCACGTCTAGCTGAAGTCCATGATGATAGTAACAGCTTTTTTATTGTAGGTACAAGGAAAAAATTAAGTCGTAAATGTATATCATATGCAAAGAATAAGCACAAGATGATATACCGGCCCAGAAAAAGAGGATACATTTCAGGAATCATCTGTTTACAATCAAATATGGGGCTTTTTTTTCAAACAGATCACAAAACCACATCTAAAACTGTTTCTTTTCAGTCTAAATGACTTGGAGATGTACCATGTCCAGAGAATAAAACAGCTTCTTCATTCATACTCCTGATCAAAGTGGCTTAGAGCAACAGACCAAGATGACACGTTCATAAACTGATCTTGGAAAAGAAGGCTAGATGTTGCCGTTGAGCGACGAGTTTCTACAAAGGAACTGGATGCTGAGTTTTCACAAGCCACCCCCTGATGTTCTAATGCAGTATTCCTCTGTACCAAAAAACTTCTCACCTCTTTTCTTATCCCAGACAACCACATTTTTATATACATGTACACAGCATCCCAATACCAACAGGAAACAGTAGGTATTTCTTTAATCATACCTTGTTTTTTTATTAACCGTGGTATCAAAGTTTTGGTGGCAATAGATTAATATATTCTTCAACATACATGTGTTACATTGTACAGGAAACAGTAAGTATGAAGTACAGTATAAAAATATAAATCTGAACATTCCGTTACAAACATTCCAAATGACAGCACTTAATTATGTTAATGACCTAGACTTTATATTGTTTTGTAGTTTATTTGATAAGTGAACAACTGTACTGAACATCTATATTTTATGTGTGAGCCATTGTAACTGTGATTTATGTGTTGAAGCCATCCTTTTCTAACTGACCTACATCCTGTTGAGGACTTTCCTACATAATGGTATTTGACAGGAAATACAGACCTGAAAACAGTTGTATTCTTTTTTTTTTTAAGTAACATTTAAGTTGGTGAAGTTTTGGAAACAACTGATTCTTTGTCAGTTACTTTTTCTTCAAGCCCAAGGGATCTCTTGGAATGACTGTTTTGAACAGTGGAGATGAATGTATGGTTGCTTACCCTGATGTGATTCCTTGTTAATCTTATATCTGTCCTAAACTCCTCCATTAACACAAATTTGGATGTAGAGTTCCCCTCCAAAATGTTGGGATTCTGTGTATATGTATGATAGCATATATGTGCATGAGATACATAGAGTAGGATAACGGTTTGTTTTATGACTGGTGATTAAAATTCAGCCCGGTTTCTGATAAAAGTGTAAAAGCAGGAGATCGCTTCATCTGGTACAGAGGGTGATTCACATTCTGCCATTTGAAACGTTGCATTTGGGAAAATAGGCCCCGGCCAATATTGAGCATGTTCACTTATAACTGGGCCAAGAGCATTTGATGATGCAGAAATGAGATGGGCTTACCTAAAACGACCCTGGCCTGCTCCAGGAGAACCTGAGTAACACCACTGTTTCCCTGATTAGCAATCAGGAAACATTTGGTGCTGTTAGCTACTCTCTGTTTACTGGTAGCTGTTAACAGTTAGCTGCCAGTGTTTTCTATTTCCATTTTATGAGGATGTTTGACATCCTTTTACTCTCTATTTTACTCTAAATATTAAGTACTATGTCTTGGTGCTGAGATTTTTGAATTTGTATCCATCGCCCACATGTAACATTCCTACTACAGTATGATAATACATGTACACTTGCCTTTTTTAGTGGTGTGCATAATTTTGGTAGGTTTATCATTTTCCTATTTTTAACAGCTTACCCCACCCCAAATCAGCTTTTTACTTTTCATTACATTTATTATACCCTGTCACTGATTTTATAATCATTCCTTTACCTTTTTCTTGTCAACTGTAGATCACTTATCCTTGTGAAAACGTGTGGCCTGCTTTAAATGGGTAGGCCTACTTTTAAGCAGGTGATATAGTAAGCCGCCTTAGAACCAATTACTGGGCAATACAGGTGTGGTTTCACTGTATGACACCAACATCAGTCACCATGTAACAGCTGATTGCAAAACTACACAAAGACACTGAAGTGCCCATGCTGAATAACAGATGTCAATCACAACCTAGACATGTCGCTATTAGGCCTACTGGCATGTTGATGGCATTGTCTGCAGCATTAGCACAAAAGACCACTCATTTGCACCAGTGGAACACCAGTGTAGTGTCACATTGTTCATTTGTTTTTATGTTTTTTAATTAATTTATTGATTTTTTTGTTAAACAAAGTAGTAGTCTGCAAGTTCACTTTGACAGGGCCTCAGTCTTTCTTCCAGGCTCCAAAGTAAGAAAGCCATTTCATAAAATGAGCAAAGAAGCACTGTTTGCTTCAGCTGTTCTCTCAGTATGGCTTGATTCAAGGCAGTGAGAACCAATGTTCTAGAATTCTTATAATCTACAACAAATTCTAGAACTCCAATTGTGGTTCTAGGGTTGTGTCTCAAATCAACTCCTAGTTCCCTGCTAATCGAATTACTTCATACAGAATGAAAGTGAGTGACCTGATTAGGTCATAAAGTACAGTCTTTACTGGATTTGCCTGAACAATGACATACACTTACACTCAGGTCCATATTTATTCGTGGACTTTTTTAGTTGTCAACACAGTATATTGATGTAATGGAGTTAAATAATAAGCTCAAAGACAGACTTGCAGCTTTAATTTGAGGGTATTCACATCCAAATCAGGTGAATGTCCAAATATTTATGAATCTGAAGTGTGCATAAACTACACAACTGACTTTGTTAGCAGCAGTAAGCTAACAGATAACTGACTGGCTGCCTAGACAGACACTAGCAAATATATAGCAAATGACCAACGGTAACAAAACGGTCAACAAAAGGCTGACTGCATATTACATACTGTAACATTTTAGAGTTCTAGTGATAACTTATGTTAGACTGGATGGTAACATGAATCCCATCTTAAAGTATTTTTTTGTTGGTGATTTGTTTGATTTGAAATGTATCCTTAGATACTGTAGATTGGTTAGGGCACATATTTATTCCCTGATATTTTGAGGTACATGTCTTTAGGGGTCCTACTGTCGAGGTAAAGAACCCTTAAAGAACCATCTTTTTTAAGTGTGTGGTAGAGCAAGTCTCTAATTTAGATAATTTTGACTGACAAATGAAATAATTAGGGTTAATAAAGAGTTCTTTAAATTGATGGAGAGTTTTACATGTTTTTTATTGTTACAGGCTTGACATCATAACAATAGAAGAACCTTTTTGGTGCTATAGAACCCTTTCCAAAAAGGTTCTGTATAGACCCATCAACAGCATATTCTCCATCAATCTGAAGAATGCTTTAATCATGCAGAGGGTTCTCTGAGTGTTAATGGTTCCATATAGAACCATTTGTTTTACAAAAAAAATCCTTGAAAAAACATTTTTTGGTGTACATTGGGACCCGGTACAAAATGTCTGAATACCCTGTTGGATTAACTGTAAGGGGTTGATTTGAGACACACCACAGGTTTCTTTAGTCAGTCTGAGCATGCACTTAATCCTCCGTAATGTTTACTTACTCTTCCCGAGTATGGAGTGTGTGAATGATTCTATGAGCAATGGTGCTCTCTCTAAATCAAAGCCATTCTCTCTCTCATTGCTACTAACTATCCATAGATAATATATCAGTAAGCCTTTGTCAATGTATATTAATAATGTGATGTGGTTACAAGTGCTCTGAGAAACCATTATGTTTGTGTAAATAGTTCTCTCTTTATTCTGGAGTGAGTTCAACAATTTTCAACCAATTGTGCACATTCTGGATCTGTTGACTAGGTTGTTCTTGAATTGGTTCAGTCTAGTTTCGGTGGAGTAAAGTCTATTCGCTCGAGGCAGTTGATGTTTTTTGTTTTCATTTACACGAGCTGTCTCAGTAACAAAGAAGCCAACACTCGAAAGCATTCTGTGTTGATCATTTCATTATAAAAGGCCATGAAATTGGTTGCACATAAAAGATCAATTTGATTGTGAACCTTCTTCCAAATGAAAATAAACTTGTTTACATATTGATTATACACTTTGTTTGACGTGGTATTTTCTTGTTCAAGTGCACTGAAAAGTGTGTGCTGCTTATGTCAAAGCAAATTAAGGGACTGCTTTGAAATATTAAAGGGCCCATATCCTAAATTTTTACCTGTTTTTTATTTTCCCTCCTTCTTATCCCTTCTTAACATTATGTGTTAAGAAGAGATAAGTTATGTGTGGTTCACATTCATAATTCATTTTTACATGACCGTTCTCCAAACTTTCTCTATCCCTTAAAATGAAACAGGCTGTTTTTGGTACTGTGCCTTTAAGATTGCTAGAAGATGAGCTCTGTTCTGATTGGCTGCCCTGTACTGGGCCACTTTCAGAAAAGCACTCAGAGCTGAAACACTCCTTAGAACTTCAATATGAAACAGGCAGAGCTAAAGGCTGTAGGCTGAATAGGTAGACAGGGACGTGTGTTGGTTTTTGTGACATCACACAAACAATGGATTTAAAAAGGGCTGTTTTTGCAACCTTATTTCCTTATGTGGACTGTATGGACTGGGGAGAGAATGGTATGTTTTGGAACCCAATAAATAATTAGTTATTCTGTGATATTGGCTCTTTAAATAAGCATGAGTTATTCAACAGTGATATGACAGGTACTTGAGAACTGCTGGAAATACTCAGTTAATCTTACCATCTTTAAATGAGCTGAAGATCTAGCTGAAACTCAGATGATGACATGTAACTTGGCATGATTTGGACTAAGATTGAGTTTAAAGTGCCTGAAGGCAAGTAATTTGCTAAAAGACAGTGATAAATCATTTTAATAGAATAGAAAGCCAGAATGCTGTAATGCTTCATTCACATCCATTGAGCAGTCATGTATCTCAGCAGAGGAGTGTAGAATTACCATAAAACCATTCTTAGCTTCACCAACATGTAGTGAAGTACTGATTGAAAATACACAGAAAAGTGTGAATCCAGCAGAACTGTAGATGGAACTAGAGGTGGGCCTTGTTATCGTCAGGGGTTGGAATAAGCAGGTTTTACTCAGGAAATCCCACTTGGTTTTCTTTCTTAGCTTAATATTCACAGGTGCATTCAAAATGGAGCTTCATATTCAGCTTCTGAAACCACATTACCCTTCTGTTCTATTCTTCCACCTTTTATCTTTCTGTCCTTCTGTCCTTGCTCTCCTCTCTCTGTTCTCCTCACACCTCTCCTCCTCCTTCTTCTTCTTTTTTTGTTAAAGCTGAAAGAACTAAAACATGAATTATTCATGTTGGCAACAGTAGTACTTTTGATTGTGGCAGGTAAATATGTCTCTTATCCTGTCCAGGCAAAACAGCAACTCGAATCTTAAATTGTTTTAAATTCATTTTTCATAAACAGACTATATAGCTCCTAAAGCATAAAGTTTAAAACATTAGAACAAATAACATTGAGTTTTTTTTAAGATGTTTGGTCTAAAGGAACAGAACCACAAAGTCACATCCTAAAAGTTAATGCCACTTCCACCGAAACTCCCATTAACAACCTAACACACAGGAATCTGAACAAGCCTTTAACTAAGACAGACTACAGAACACTATGGATATCATCAGTAATTAAAGGGTTCATATCCTGCATGTTTCTAGTACTTTCTTGTATTTTTCTCCCTGAGGTTCACTTATGACTTTTGTGTGTGTTGGAAAAGCAGTCCAGGCTAAAACGCTCCTTCTAACTTCAGTGTAAATGGGCAGAATTAAACTTCTGTAGGCTGAACAGGTTTATATGTAAGCGTGATCTTTTTTGTGACATCACAGAAACAGTGAATTCAAAACAAGGCTGTTTTTGTAACTTAATTTGCATTTATGGACTGTATAGACTGAGAAGTGAATGATGTTTTGAAGCAGTTTTCCACAATATGAGCTCTTTAAAGAAACTGCATGGTTCATTACAAAGACAGCATAATCAATCCTGTTTTAATGAATTGCAGTACCCTCTTTAAAAATATGGTTCTTTAGTCAAAAGAATGTTCTATATTTTGTCTTTTCCAACTTATGACACATCAGCGAAACGAAAAACATTATCTATACTGGAAATTGTAAAAAAGTCTTCTAGTGATATGTTTTTGCCATAACGCCAACCCTGCCTAGATGTAACAGAGTAAAAGAGTAGTTATGAACGTCTGTCATTCACAGAGGGAGACTTTGTTAACAGTGCTGGTCACAAAATCACAGAAACCCGTTTCTTTTTTCATTTTTCTTCTGTCAGATGTTGTCATGACTCTCCAATCCGCCGTGAGGCAGCAACGTGTCAGCAGTAATCCCTTAACTGCTGGCTCAAACAGGCTTCTGTGTTGTAGTTCCTTGTCAGCCTCATTTGTAGGCTTATAAACACCTTTATATTTAAATATGTGAAACAATGTGCTGAAACTATTACAGGAATTCCTTTTGTTCACCCGTGTGACTTCATGGTGGCCGCTGTCTGCAGTCCGTGAGACACACTCGGGCTACGGGAGGGAGAAGGTCGTCCCCGTTTTAAAGCAGGTCAACAGCAACGTCGTTTAGTAAGTTGGCTAAGGCTAAAACGAGCTGTCATATGTTTGAAGACATTTCGAAGCTCCTCACCGAACGAAACATACATTTTCTGCCTTCGTGTGGCCTAAACAGTAGCTTAAAGTGCAGTTTCGCGCGCTGCCTGCCTAGCTCGACTACACACAAAGTAACGTTAACGTTAAGTTAGTCAGGTGAAGAGCAAGTCTGTCGTAAAACAAGATTTTAGCAACATTTTTGCTCACTTTTGATACTTATTCGTGTTTATCTTAATTGTCTACTCCTGTCTCGTGTAGCTAGCTACTGTGTGTAGTTAAGACTCAAAATATAGGTATAAAATGTAAAAATATAGCTTATTTGAGTCCACCACGATTTAATGTGGCATGTAGTTTGCCTAGCAGCCGCCAGAGGGCGTCAGTCATCTGTGTTTTGTAGAGGCTGTTGGAGATGGACTTGACTTGGTCAATGCAATGGTTCTCAGTCCTGGTTCTGGAGTACATAGTCTGCACATTTTTGAGCTGTGGCCACCAGCCTTGGTCCTGGAGATCTTTCTTCCTGCTGAGTCCAGTTCTAACCACAATGTGACACACGTGTTCCAGCTAATTAAATTCTCCAGAAATCCCTGATTGGCTTGATCAGATGCACTAGTGGTAGGTAAAGGGGCTGTGTTAAATGCAGCTTTGAACTAAACTCTTTAGGAAAGTAGATTTCCAGGAGGAGTGCTGGCCGCTGCTTTAGAGTTTCCCCTCATCCCAACACACCTGCTGCAGCTAATGAATGATTTAACAAGCCATTCCTGAGGTGAACTAGATGTGTTAAAGCAGGAAAACACTACAATAGTCAGAGAAGTGGTACTCCAGGGCCAGAATTCAGAACCACTGGACTAGTTCCATGTATGTATGTTTTTGCCTTTCTTTCAGCATGTTTCTGGTGGGGCTCACGGGAGGGATAGCCTCAGGGAAGAGCACTGTCTCCTCTCAGCTGAGAGAACTCGGGTGCCCTGTCATCGACGCTGATGTGGTGGCCAGGAAAGGTAAAAGAGCCTTCATGTCAGAACCATTACATGTAATGTGTGTTGAGACTTGACCTATTATTTTTTTAAGGAGATGATAAGAATAATCTGTTCTTATTTCAGTAATCAAAGTTAAATGCCTGAGTGTGCTTTGCCATAGCACAAGTTTTATTTGGCAATGATTTGATATCGGCAGTATTTCTAGCATTACAACAATACAGCAGTGTGTGATTCCTCTCATTAATCACAGCTGATCACACCTATCTGAGCTTACTGGACATCCCATTCTAAAACCATGGTCATTAATATGGAGTTGCCCCCCAGCCCTAGACCATTATCACTCCTCTAGCAAACGTTACTTTTGGCAATCGGTACTCCAGTAGGTAGCATTCTCCTGGCATCAGTCAAACACAGATTTGCCTATCAGGCTGCCAGATGGTGAAGCTTGTTTCATTACTCTAGAGAACATGTTTCCAGCGGCGGCTTACCTTAAACCACTCCAGTCGACACTTGGCATTGCGCATAGTGATGTTAGGTTTATGTGTTAGGCTTCTGCTCAGCCACGGAAACCCATTTTATGAAGCTCCTAATGCACAGATCCTGTGCTGATGATTCTTTAGAGGCAGTTTAGATCTCTGTAGTGAGCACTCGGCAGCCTGTGAGGTTATTTATTATTGTTTGTCTGATGTTTTTGGGTGGATCCGGCTGACTGTACAACAAATTGGGATAATAACAATATCATTGATCCTTAGTACACCTGTTAGCAAAGGGTGTGGCTGAAACACTTGAGCTTAATAATTAGAAGTGTTCACATACTTTATATATGATCAATGGATACATAGATTTCTGTTTCAGTTTACAACCAAGTCCATCAAAATCAGATTGACAGTAGAGATGGCACTGATCCAGTATCAGAAGAAAGTCCTGGACAGGCTATCAGAGGGGGAAAAAATCAGATCTTGTGACAAATCTAGCCTGAAACAGCGCAAAGTCACATTGCGTCATGTGATGTTGGCTGTGTTTTTCTTCTTGTGAGGTAGTGGTGTTGGAGTAGTTTGAGCATGACTGTGAATATGCCTACTTTGAAATGCTCATCTTAAAACTAGCTAAAACACTTCTAATAGGCTGCTGATACTGACAGACCAGTCTGAGAACTGTCTGGGCGTGGTCCTAAAAATCTGTTGAGCATGTTTGATTGACAGCCTTCAGTCCAACACTCCTAATGTACTATGACTGTGAAGCAGAACTAAACACAATTGTATGGGCAAAGCTGGAGAGCAGGGAGAAATGAGTGAAACAGGCTCTGCATATGTAGGTGGGGTTGTAGGCTGTGTCTGTGGCTTAGTAAAACATTACCAAGCTTTTATATGGTGGAGAAAGGGAGAATTTTGGCCCAGTACATACAGTACAATACTGGGCATATTTCAACACAAAAAAAGTACTCATAGGGCCTGGTACATGTATATTGTGTGCCCATATGAACAAGATAAGCCTTGTTTGAAAGAAAACACAGATTTACACTATATGACCAAAAGTATGTGAACTTCCTTCCAGCCACACCCTTTTCTAACAGGTGTACAAAATCAAACACATAGCCATGCAGTCTCTGTAGACTAACACTGACAGCAATGGATCATACTGAACTTCAGAGTGCGTTGCATACTGTGAGTGTCATGAAAGGGATCTGATGTGTTTGGGTGTGAACAAGAACTGGTCTGAGATCTCATCACTGCAAAAAAGGATCAGAAAGAAAACCGAATCCGCTCTAGTTTGCTTACATTGTGAACACAAAAAGCACTGCGGTCATTTGCACCCTTTCAGGTTTACTTTAACAGTTTGGTCCTTTTAAAAAGAACTATATGTGAAAACACCCATAGTGTAGGTTTTGTAAGCGACTTGCTTCAATTAAAAACAGCTTGTGTTACAGCTTAGTAGTTTTAAATAAAAACTATTGGTATCAACTTAAGGTGTTAATGTTCTTGTATTATGGAGTGATAAATGTTGGTTTGAGTGATAAAATCATATCGTAGCCTTTAGAATCCATGAGTGTTTGTTTGGTTGTGTGTGAGACAGTTGTGGAGCCACACAGCCCTGCATACAGGCTGGTGGTGCAGCACTTTGGGCAGGAGGTGCTGCTGGAGAACGGGGAGATAGACAGACAGAAGCTGGGACATATCATCTTCTCTAGCCCAGAGAAACGCAGGCTGCTGAACTCCATCACACACCCGGAGATCCACAAAGCCATGCTGAAACAGATCCTGCTCTACTTCATCAGAGGTATGAACTCGCTCGCTTACACTTACTTTTCCACTGTGTCTCTCATTCACACAGAGGCAGATGCTCAAATCAGAAACAGCTGTGGTTGGGACATACACACAATCACTGTCTCACTCCTTTGCTGTTTTACTCGTGCTCATTTGAGAATAGAGCACATAGAAGAAATGCTCTTACCAACGTAGTTCCTCTTAGTCTGTCTGCTTTGAACACACACACAGACTTGGGCCTGATCAGCTGTGATGTGTCCCTTGTGAGCGTGTTGGCTCTTTTTTTCTTTTTCTTTTTAGCAACCGCTGAAACCAAGATAAGCAGTTAAACTGTGAAAATTCATCAGTATTCTGTAGGTGTAATGATGTTAATCACATACAGTGCGATCGAAATGCATCCAGTAAAACTTCTAATCAGCACCTGACTTGTTCAGTAGAAGATAAGGATTTTCTACTGGTTGTTTAACTCTCTCATTTGTGTAGCCTAGACAACAGAATGTGAGGGTCAGATCGCATCGCTGTTTGTTGTGAGAGTAGTGTTGTGTGGTGCTTTTTGCTTAGAACTATGATCATGATTCTCGCAATTCGTCAACATAGCAATTTGCAAAGAACAATGTGCAGTACAAATTTTTACATAGTAAAACTTTTAGAAACATATATAAAAACAGCTTATAGACAAACAGCTATTTCAGTACTAAGTACTGCAGAATGGAAACTAGAGTAATATGGATGATATCTGTTTTTACACTAATCAAAGTCTATTCACTATGTAATAATGGTATTAGTGTGTACACTATAACCAAAATACCCTTATTCTTGATGCATATGTGTACTTTTTTTGTGTGTTTTTTTTTGTTTTTTTTTTTGTTTTTTTAAAGCAGCATAACTTTTTGGTAATTTGGTCACACATGGGAATAGACAGCCACCTCAGTTGGAGTGAATAAAGGCTGGTCGTCAAGTAATTTCACCCCAGTTTCCTAAATTTGATGTCCACATGAGCTGTTTTTGCTTTGGACAAGAAGACTTTTAAAAGTATTAGTATTAGTACTGGTTTTAGGATGTTAGTCTTGATATTGAAAATGAATTAAAAGAAAATTATTGTTTTTACTGCTGAATCCCTGCTGAACTGGTAAACACCATCATTGGTAAAACAACCAAAATATATATATGTAAAAAAAACATACCTAACCTTTACATTAAATTAACATGTATTTTTAAATAATCTTTAAGATAATAATAGAATCTAATAAACAGGACCCAACAAAGCCACTAAGAATGCTGGATAGCTCCTGTCCCATGTGCTACAGTATTTGTCTTTCACGACTACTGTTTAAGAACTGAGCTGATAATCATAGTTGACAGTTAACAAAAATCTAATCAGTTGGTCAATGTCTGTTTTCCTGCCAGCACTAACTAAAACTGTTGGAGTTTGTTTAATTTTTGACTATATAAAATTATATGCTGCTGATATTGGAATTTTTCGTTGAAATTGGTGTTACTATTGTTGGCACTGTTCATATTAGACAAGCTCTAAAACAGACACAAGAGTGACACTCATACAGAGTCATGTAGAGACAGACTCTGTTGTCTACCAGAAAACATATAAAAGGAAAATTAACATTAAATAAGTGAAGGGTTAGGAAACACATGTAAAGATGTCACTGTTCTGGAGCCAGTGTGGATGTTTGATCAGCCATGTTTGTGAAAGGCTTTGCCGCTACTTTCCATTTTGTTTATTGCTTTCATGTCGACTGTTTTAATGGCACACAAAAACTAAATGACAAATAAGAAGACTTAAAGTTGTCACTTGAAAGAAGGGATTGCTGAGGAACTTTGGGAGTCATGTGAGTGCAGAGTAATTTTTTTTGCCACTAAAAGAACTGAATCTCTTTTATTGAGTTTCATTGAGTTTGTTTTTTATCTCTAAAAGCTCTAATATAATATACTGTGATTCATTCAAGCTGCCGTTTAATTTTGTCTGCTGATATCATTATATTTTGTGTAGTCTGAGGGCTAAACCAATAGGTATTGCTATAGTTGATTGCCTTCATGTAAATGTACAGAACTTTACATAAATGTAAAGCAGAGTGAAGGAGTAAAAAAAAAAAAAATGTTAAGAATTCTCTGAAATGGACACTATTTTATCATTCTTAATCATTTCATACCATCATTAGGGGTGACTTAATCTTGCACAATCATACACTATTGTCTCATGTGACGAGCCTTCTGGCATCTGGGACTGTGTGTGTTCCGCATGGTCCAATCACATAGCTTTTAGCTTTGTCTAAAAACATCTCTATATGAATGTCACAATCAATTTAGCCTGGATAACCAAAGGGAAAATAGTACAGCAGGTCTTTTTCTAGCTCTGTCATAAGCAATGATTTACAGCTCCCTTAAAGTAGCCGGATGGCTAACCTTTGGAAACTCTTCCCCCACCCTACGCTCTCCAACGCACCTCCTCTGAGCGAAAAACCGCTGAGCAAATCACTAGCAAACCGCTGACTTTGCCCCGGGTGCTCCAATCACAGCACTCAAAACACTGCCTGTATTTACACAGCCGGTCAAAAGTCTGGAGACACCTGGATTGTCAATGTTTTTAATAAAAGCACCTGTCTTCTTGTTCTTTTTGCAGTAACATATTAAATACAAAACTTTTTCTTTGCAAAAACTGCAGAACTAGAAGACCACCCATTTTTTTTTATCCTCTTGTTGTAATTACCCTTGTTACTGGGCAGTGTATGTTAAATGGCACTACAGTGTATTTTTGATTGATTTCAATTAGGACTGTCACTACTGATTATATTGATAGATCATTTAATTATTAATTACTTTGATGGACTGAAAAAGAACAAAGCATGCACCTTTTTATTTGGGGGAAAAAAACTAGAAAGCATGTATAATTACACCCGAAATACCTGTTTCTTACTGTAACAAATGACCAGTATGATGAAATATGCATTATCATGCAAATAGTAATCCATGATTTATTTATTTTTTATTCATGTAATCAGATTTGAATAATCATGATGCAGTTATATGCAAATGTTTGAACACCCCGGTCAAATGACATGTTTTGTTGTTGTAGTAAAAGTTAGTTAACACACTTTTTTGACTTGAAATATTAATGTGATTAGAAAATTAACAAAACATGTCATTTGACCAGGGGCTCCTAAACTCTTTAATATGACTGTAGTTCTACTTTCAGTCAGTCCAGCATTCGTTGAAGTTTTAGTTTAGCAGAAAGTGGGTAAATAGGCCAAAACACATTTCTTAAACATCTGCTTTAGCTGTTCAGCTCAGTTCCATTAACTCATGTTTTGCAGTTTTTTACTCAGATGTTATACAGTTTAATGATAGGATAAATGAGCTACCTTGGTGCAGAAGTGTTGTAAATGAGCGGTCATGCATTGAAAGTTAAGAATGTCTTCCTATGTGTTTCTCTCTTCAATTTTAATGAATAACTTATGTTATTTTTGTATTCAAGGTTTTACAGTTTTTATAGCCACGTAGTTCAGGTCTTCTTGTCTAATCATTAAAGTATGTCTTGGGAGATTTAATATGTGCATTCAAAAACACCCAAAAGACACGGTCCTATTGTTGCTAAGAAAGGATTATTCAGTGTTTCGCACATACCTTATATTTGAACAGTTTAGAGAACGTTGAGTATTTTTATGAATCTGTTTAGAAAACACAAGGTGCTTTGAATTTGAACGGTGCGTGAATATAGCTCAATTTAGGGGAGGGGGAAGAAGAGGGAGAGTGCAGGAGAGTAAGCAGTAAGAGCATAAAGTCAGCTAGCGTCTGTATGTAAATAGTAAAGTTGTCCTGGCTGGACTGCTTTCTCTTAGTTCAAAAGAATGCCTTGATTCAGTTACTCTACAGACTCATCTAATATTAACAGATGAGCATTGTGAAGGAGGAGGTAGCTCAGTTACCCTGATGTGTACAAATTCAAGATGTCATAGAAGCACTTTGAGGTCATTGAGCTAGTTTACATTCACAAACTGATAGCGACCAGTCAGGTAAGATCTGAATCAGGAATGAACCATTCCTGTTACTTCTACCAGGTTTTCTAGCCTATCTAGTAAGATTTGATACAATAGACCACTCTAAGATCAAGCGGAACCAGCAAAGATACATTTCTACGGTCAGCGAATAAGAGATTGTTTATAGTTTTCACCAGTGCTGCCTCTGTACTACGATGAAGCCGAAATCCAGACTGAATTTTTTTGATGATTTTTACTGATGCGGGAGCATGCTGCGCATAGAGATGACTGACATGGTGGATTTGGGTGGGACAAAATCTTTGAAAAACGGTAGTAAAAATGATATCACCCCACCTTTTAATGTAAAATCAATGCTGTCTAAATAATGTTTTGGTAGGCTATTGCATTGTAATACAAAAGCTGATATGTTGTTCAAACATTAGAGTTGTATACTTCTGTCTGTGATGACTTATCTGGCTTCTTGTTTGTGTGGGTGCACGTGCCTGTGCGTTTTTTGTTTCTAAAAGGTTATCGGTATGTGGTTCTGGACGTGCCTCTGCTGTTTGAGACGCGCCGTCTTACTCGCTTCTTAAATCACACAGTGGTTGTCTACTGGTAAGTACTTTTCTTTCTGCACCGCCTCTCACAGTGCAGTCATTATTACTGGCATCTTGAACATACCCTGTGCATGAAGCTGTTCTCAGCATGTTAGTTTGTGTATTGCAGTCTCATAAATCTCTTTTTCTTTGCTTCTCTTTCTCTCTCTTTCTCTCTCCCTATCTCTCTCTCTCTCCCTCTCTCTCTGCCTCAGTGATCCCACCACGCAGCTGGCTCGGCTGATGCACAGGGACGGTTTGAGCCAGGAGGAGGCCGAGCAGCGCATTGCCGCGCAGATGCCCCTGAACGAGAAGCGTGGTTTGGCTAGCCACGTGATCGAAAACTCGGGCTCGCGCGAAGACACACACCGCCAGGTCCTCAAACTGCACACCAAGCTGGAGGACTCCATGGAATTCCTGTTCGTCAGGGCCATCGCGGTGGTAGCTGTTGCCGGCCTGGGAGGCCTCTTCCTGTACACGGTTAGACTCCTGGCGTCCTAGCCGCAAGGTGGAACTTTTAATGAGGTGCTTCTCCGGGACAGAACCAAGGCCTTCCACGCAGTAACAGTGAAGGAGGGTTGAATGTGGGTTGAAAATGTGATGTGAAAATGTGTTGTGTTTTTTTTTTTTAAAGTCTAAATCACTTTAACAAAAAACACTAACGCTATTTTTAATAGTTATCAGAAATTTGACAATCTAAACCTCACAACAAAACGACCTCCAACTTAACAGAATTAGAACTGCACACAGGCCAAGTTGTGAACAGAATTAAAAGTCCCATGTTCTACGATGATTTTGTGTCAGATTAGAGGTGAATGGTATAGTAAAAATGTCACAAAGAAATTTTCACAGTACACAATTTGCATTGTAATTAGAAAACTATGAATACAATAGTGCACTTAACTAAATACACTTAAACAGGATTAATTATATGAAACATGCAGTTGGTCAGTATTCTTTTAAGTACTAACGATACCCATAATGCACTCAGAAAAGCATGTGTAATTCATCACAATAACAATAGTAATTGCCATATCACCCATGTCAGATCTTGTTGAAGTGTACGCACTGCTTTGTCCATTGAATTATCATCTGACATTCTGCATTCATTCCTAGGTCAAGCATTCCTGTCAGCCATAGTAGTTAGCAAGCAGCTTCACTAACTCTTAAGCCATCCAGCTGTGTTGGCTTTTAGATAAGTCATGGTGACACATCCTTTACCTGTTCCCTAACAAGTAATTGGGAAATTTCTCTTCCTGGCTGGTGTATGAAGTATGCTTTGATGCGTCACTTATGTGTATGTTCTAACATATACTACTTCATTCTAACATGTGTGGCTTTTAAGCTGCTACACCAAGCTAGTTAGCAACATGTGCGAACAAGTAGAGATGGCATTTCCGATACTGATATCAGTGTTGGCGGATAACGATATAATATTTTTATCTTTAACTAATAAGCCTTAAAATTAGCTATTTTTAATCAAAGTTGTTCACTTAAAGCTATATTATATATGGTTTGGGGATTTGGAGACCTCTCTGTTGGAAATGTGTAATTGCACACAATGTGTGGAAGAACATTTTAGCTGCATTTCGAAGCCCAGGCTGCAGCCGAGGTAGAGTGCGTCCTCGGGAAAACTGTCCTATGAAGACTCCTCCTTAGTAGCCTATTGGTCACCCAAATAGAACAGTCCTAACAAGGCTGTGTGGTGCCGTCACCAGAAACTTGTGAGAGCCCATTGCATTGTATTTGTTGCTACAGTAACTAGTAAGCCAACAAGCTTATGTAGTTTGATAAACTGCATATATACAAATATGTCTGATTAAAATACGATATGTGGACGAACTTTTTAATTAGTCATTTTACACTTTATAATGCAATGAAGACTAATTCAGAGATGTGAATAACTTACATTTTAAAACAAGCTCTGCTCCAACGGCTTAGTTTTCTGCCATTTTTGTAGTGTTGTGTTTTCTTTTCCCCTTTGGCCTTGTTTTGTGCGCAGAGCACTGTGGGCAACTGAAGGCCTGGAACGTTACTTTATTTGCATCCTTGAAATCACTCAAAGCATTGGCTGCATTTTTAGCCTGTATATGAAGTATACTTTGGAACAACCTTCTTTGACGTAGCAGCCGAGAAATGCAGTCTTCCTAGGCTTTGGAACGTGGCTATTGAAATTTTGGTTGTGTTTCGGACCCCTTCCCCAAGCGGATGCATCTGATGATTGCGAGCCGTTGAAAAAGTATTTAAAGAAAACTTTAAAGTCAAAACTTAGTGTGTCATCAGTATAAATTGGTCTGGCTCAATGTTTATGAGCCTGTGTGTGTAACGACAAGATGTAAAGACGCATGATGTGGTTTGAAAAACTCCCATAATATGCAACCCAACAGCTCTGACTTTTAAAATATTATTTCAGACTTTTAATGAAGAAATCTTATATAGTGCAGCTTTAAGTTGAGCATCCAAAAGTAGATTTTGGCCGATATCAGCTTGATATCGATGCCATCTCTACTGGTATAACTATAACTTTTAAAATGCTGATATTCAGTTAATATTGCAGTCGAAAAACACGTTTTTTTAGTTATATGCACATTTATCATTTTGTGGAAAGGAAACTTAGAGATTACTACTTTGACTTTACAGGGTTCATGTGTAATGGTATACATGCAATTATACATGAAATGTACAATTGGTATTTGTTTATAGGCAAACAGCTTGTAACGTTTTGCATTCTACAGCCCGTTAGCTTTTAGCTAAAATGGTATCTTATTTTGCGTTAGGTTTTATTTCTTGCGGAAGTTACAACATCCTAGAACATTCTTGTATTAGGCTTGGCCTGCTGGAAGGGAGTAGAAGGGATATTTTCTTCATGGGCCAACTGGCCTTCCGACACATTCTGAGGTGTTCTTTGCTTTTCTCTTCTTATACTTGAGACTGATTACCATTGTAACAACAAACCCCACAGGTAAAACAACTTAAACACCAGTCTTTAGCACTGACTTCCACATGGCAACAGGTAGAGATTTTGGGGTATTTTTTTTGAGGTACAGCTGCTGAGCATGTCATTTAACACTAAGTAATTCTGCTACAGATTTTGTAGCTCTACTGTAAAATCTCTTTAGGGATTGTAATAATTAACTTCAACCTCAGGCTTGTAATGCCTGACAGTCTTTCCTTATATACAGTCTATTATCTGCTCTGTCAACACTTATATTTTAGTTTGTAGTGAAATTATTATAACAGAGAGTGATCTGAATGTATCTGTTGGAATTGATGCTGCTCTTTGCAAACAAAAGGAATGTAACTGGTCTAATCTGCAGATTAAACACGGTCAGATTCACTACATCATGTATTGTATTGGTGACTGTGCTCCAATCTGTGACTTTCTGTTACATCTATGCACTCTTACACTTAGTCATTTGGCAGATGTGCTCTCCATTGAGAGTCCAAGTGATGAAATGAGACTTTATTGAAAGAATTTAAAACACTCATTGTTTGCTTTTCTAGAAACCTTCTATATACTTCCACTCTGTGATCACTTTATGAGCTGTCGACCATCTCTTGGTGCACAATCTGTTGCCTTCTACCCCATTCGTCATTGGTCAGTTTCTGACCACAGGACTGCTGTTGTCGAGATATCATTTGGGTGGCGGGTCATTCTCAACACAGCAGTGAAACTGACAATGGTAGTGTTTGTAGTGTTGGTAGGTACTGTGGAGTTGCTGGGGTTTTTACATGTCAGTGTCTAAAAGGGTTTAGAACCTAAAGGGCAAGAGTCTTAAATTAACATGACATCCAAGTCTCATTTACATTCAACCAAGAACAATTCTATAGCAAGCAAGACTGAAAAGCACCACGCACATGTAATGCATTCATGCGAGAAGACAATGACTGAAAGCAATGCGCATCAGCAAATTTGGCATCTGCATTGCAAAGTTTAAAAAATTAGCTAACTGCTATTATGTGCACACAGTGCATGATGCACATAAATTAAGACATACTTCAATTAATATAGACAGTTAATTAGTTTTTTTTTTTTGCACTGTCCACAAGCTTGTGGTATACACATAAAAAGAATGCAGTGAAGGCTGAGGCAGATTATGCAAACGGACAAACATCAACAGAGATAAGAATCATGTTAACAAATTAGATACTTGGACATTTGGACATCCTATCATGTATTAAATATTAGAAGTTTAGATTATCACTATCTACATGTTACATTTATAAAATGTAATTATTTTACTTAATTACACTTACATTCGGTTTGCGTTCTGTATTGACAAGTTCAAGGCTGCACTGCAGTTGCACGCTTGCATACAATCATGGCAAAAATGTAACGCATGTTTTTCGTCCTACAAAACAAGGCTGCACAACAATAACTATCTAATTCAAATCATAATAAAACGTTTGCACTTTTAGTAATGAGCATAAATGTTGTTTTGATTGAAAGTTTTCAATCTGCGTTTCTTTTTACTTAATTTTTTGCCATTGTAGTAGTTCTTCCACCTATTGCATGGTGTTTCCAAGCTGGAAAGGTGAAGGATAGTTTCTTCCGAGACACGTAAACCCAGCCACCACATTTTTTTTTAAATTGACCCCAACACAACGTGATTGGACTGTTGAACTGATTTGGATGAGAATGCCAGTTTTGCTACGTCAGCTAACAGGCCCCCCACATTGGCCTCAAATCAAGAGTGGTTTGAGCTCACAATCTCCTGATGATGGAGCCAAAGCTTAAACAAAAAAGCTCAATGGTGGAAAATGTATTACAACCCCCTGTGTGAATAAATATAAATAAAACAGAATGCAATTATTTGCAAATCTCATAGACCCATATTTTACTCGCAGTAGAACATAGAAAACATATCAGATGCTGAGACATTTTACCATTTCATGAAAAACATTCTAATTTGGAATTTCATGGCAGCAATGCATCTCAAAAAATTTGGGACAGGGCTGTGTCTGCCATTGTGTAGCATCCCCTCCTCTTTTAACAACAGTCTGTAAACGTCTGGGAAGTAAGGAGACCAATTGCTGGAGTTTTGGGAGAGGAATGTTGTCCCATTCTTGTCTGATGTAGGATTCTAGCTGCTCAACAGTCCTGGGTCTTCTTTGCTGGATTTTTGTTTGATGATGCACCAAATGTTTTCTGTTGGTAAAAGGTCTGGACTGAAGACAGGCCAGTTCAGCACACAGACTCTTCTTCTGTGAAGCCATGCTGTTGTGGTGGATGCAGTATGTGGTTTAGTATTGTCTTGCTGAAGTATGCAAGGCCTTCCCTGAAAGAGACGTTGTCTGGATGGGAGCATATGTTGCCACTATGTCCTTAATGCATCTCATGGGGGGGGGCAATGATGCCTATTGCTATTTGGAATAAACAAAGATTTTTCTTCAAGCTACATATTTTACAGTATTTGTGGACAGCTATATCCAGGAGTTCAAAGTAATGTCTTCTTGAATAAAGTGATTTTGGTTCTACAGTGACTGATCAATCAAGTGTGGTCGTCAACAGATAAATTGTCATCTATCAGTTTCCTTCACAAATACCCTTGAACACAGAGAGAGAGAGAGAGAGAGAGAGAGAGAGAGATCAGCTCTACCATGAGTCAAATAAATTTAAGTAAACCCTTTACTTTCACAATAATTTGATTGCTGTCATCATATAACATTTTATTTTGGGAGCAGTAAAACTAGAAAATGTATTTTGTAGCTAGTTGCGTTGTGATTAAACAAAGAAGGATGTAGGATAGCCTAATAGTGCCACAGTTACAATGCACATCACATAGTAACAACTAGATGGCACTAGATCGCTAGCTGCACCAGCTAACCTACTCCAGGGGCACATTTAATTTCAAAACATTTTGCTTCAGTTTCCGGATTGAGCGACAAATGCAGTCCTCTACAAATGCGGCTGATGCAGCTCGGTGTTTGCAGTAGTTGAAGACTTTAGAAGGTGATTTTTAAGTATTAAACACATATTTAAACACATTTCATCAGGCTCTGTAAATTCTATGAAAAAAATGCCAAGAATGGCCTTCTCAGCTGCCATATCTGCAATGCTTGTGTGACACAACAGAATCACCACCAGTTTTATTTAAATAAATGTTTTGTTATGTTTTATCATAACATAAATGACTATCAGTTTGTCAGAGCTATCTGGGTGATTTTCAACCAGACTGAAATCACCCAAAAGTTCCAGTACTGTACAGAACACAATTTGACGCTGATTGTTCTAGACAGTTTGTCCTGCCTCTGAGTATCGTAGTCCAGTCATAGCTAGTGTAACACTGTGGTTTCCTCCCTTACCCTCTTTGGTGGTGCGTCGTCCGATGGCCCTGAGGAACATACAGCCCCTGTCGAACAGTCATGAAAATCCTGGAAAAATTATAGAATATAAAAACATGGTTTTCCAGACCTAGAAATGTTATGGAAAATAAGTGCTGGAAAAATCCTGGAATTTGCTCCCCTCCCCAATTCGGGTCATTGTCTAACACTTATGTTTAAAATGCTGAGGGGTCTAATTCGCAAAACACTGCAAGTCCTGAGGCTCATGTAGCTGTGTGCATCTTAACTGTTTTATGAACATTTACTAACATGAATCTTGGTGAGCTGTTGGAGGAGGATTATCGAAGGAGAGCTTAGAGTTGATTGTTTATTTAACCTCTTTCTGCAGGCCCCCTAGTGGCCATTTTGCCGATGAAATGGAATCAATAGTTTCAATTATCAAGTAAAAAATTGTGAAACATTTGAGAAAATTGAACTCTTAACAGAACATTGTTACATGTAAACACAGCATCAGACACCCTGTACTCCATTTTTCACTGGTCAGTTTCTGACCATAGAACCTCTGTTGGCCAGATCTTATTTGGGTGCTGGCTCATTCTCGGCCCAGCAATGACACTGACATGCTAATGGTGTGGTAGTGTGTGTGGTGCTCTTAAGAGTATATCAGACACAGTGGTGTTGCTTG